GCTTGAAAATAATGTTAGGTACCTGTGCGTACAAGCCCCAGATCCTGGGAGCAGGGACTACAGCATGGCCATTCCCGTGAGGGTGATTTCTCACTTTCCTTCTCTCTATCTCTCTCCAGGGACCATATGTGCCCTGTGGCAAAAACCTTAAAACAAAAACAAAAAACAAACTGTGGGGCCAGATAGGTGGCATGGTAGTTAAAGCAGATGGATCCTACATGGCCAACCAAGCAGTTCAAAGGACCTGCTGCCTTAAAAGACAGGCTGGGCGTGTGTGCATGCACATGCCCACACTCCCAAGAGGAGAATGAAAGAGAAGGGACTGCAGCCTGGTCACTCTCTCACTTTCCCTCTCTCTCTCTCTCTCTCTCTCTCTCTCTCTCTGTCTGTCTCCAGTGAGCACAAATGGTACAGAGCAAATTAAAAAAAAAAAAAAAAAAAAAAGGGGGCCAGCAGGTGTCATGGTGGTTAAGGGTGCTGGGTTCCCACGTGGCCGACTGTGGTTCGGTCCTGGCAGCTTTGCTTTCTCTCTCTCTGTCCCTCTCAGGTCCAATTGAAATTAAAAAAAAAAAAAAAAAAAAGTAAATATACTGTTAAATAATTATGTTTTTTAAAAAAGGAATTGTGATATATTAGTTCCTCTTATCACTTATCCTTTTTTCCGCCTTATTAACAATTTCTAATATTGAAAGCCTTAGTGAAAACATGTTACATAAAATGTATTATTAGCTAAGATTTCTTCTTTTTCCGTTTAGTAAGTTTTTAATTTTTTTAAAAAATTATACATTTAATCACTATACATCCCCCTTTGTTTGAAAGTTGAATTTACCCACATCAGTCCAGTACAGGATACAAAACACAGCAGCAGCAGCAGATAATAACTCAGTTCTTTGTTCCACAAGTTTTAAGAGGAATGTTTGCTATACGGTGTGTTCTTGTCAGAGACAGAGAGACAGAGTGTGAGAAATCACTCCCTCGCGGGGATGGCCATATCACAATCCCTTCTCCTCCATTCTCCTCCCAGGACTTTGGGCACACACATGCGCCTGGCATAAGTTTCAAGCCATCAGGTCTGCGACTTGAACTGTGGTCAACTCCGTGGGCGTCCAGTGATGTAATCGTTATGCTATTTGCTGGTCCCTATTACCTAAGATTTTAACTTAGGTTAATTTCTCATTTATTTTATAACACTCATTAAAGCTTAAACCATGCTTCCTTCCTGCTACTCCAAAATCATTTAACTTATTTGACAAAGAACACTTTTCTTCACATACAGCTTTCTCGAACTTACAGCCTATCTAAACTATGCCCCTATGTTTCTGCACTGTCTAGGAGGAGAAAGAAAGCATAAAAATAGCCTATTCCCTCATGACAGTCCTAATCATGATACAATTAGTTGTCACAACTATATTTTTTGTGGCAAAGTTAATTTTTTAACTTTTTATAGAAGTATTGCACACCAAGTGCAAAAATTGTAAGAGTATAGAGAGCTTAATGATTTTCACAAATTAAACAAACCAATGTAGTGGGCACTCGGCTAAAAAAACCAAAAGCAAAAATGAACTGTTACTACCGTCCAGTAGCTACTGTGTTTTATTTTTCTAGCTAATCTTCTAATTAACCTTTGAGCTTTGTTGTCAGTTATGCTGCACTGAACACTAAATATGAGGCACTAAATACAGTATTAATTCAACAATTATCTGTTAAAGACCTCCTATTTAGCAGTCGCCATTCTACACACTGGGGCAAATCAGTGGACAAAACAAGCAAAACTCCTGGCTTTCAGAATTTGCATTTCTTATAGAAGGTAACTGGCAATAAATAAAGGGGCCAACAGTGAAGTGGCATTACAAGGCTGAACCCCATATGTCTGATGGTGCAGTTCAAGTCCTGGACATGGCAGCCTGAAAAACACGGCAGGCTCACGTGCAGGTATTCATGCCCCAAACCCTAGCTGGAGAAATGGAGAAGGGACTGAAACGTGGACCATTCCCCATGGGGCAGAGTGTTTTCTCACCCTTCCTCACTCCTGGCAGGCCCTCTGGCATATTTAAGTAAATAAACAGAAAAAAATAACTTAAGTCAAATACATATTAGATAAGTGACAGGTGCTAAGAAAAAAAAAAAAAAAGCGGAAAAGAGGTAAGAAAATAATAGCTGGATAATTTTTTTAGAAAATAACCAAAATACCATATTGAGAAGGTTCTCTAGGTTGACATATGAAAGAATGATGGAGCTAGGCATGGGAATATCAAGTGGAAGAACATTCTAGGTACAAAAATCAGCAAGTACAACTTGAACTGCGGTCAAGCGCCTTAGCCACATGCCACCTGCTGGCCCCGGACAAGACGAGAGAACACACTGTAGTTTAGCGGGAATGATCGAGGAGACAGAGGAAAAATGGCGATCCAGGATGAAGAACTGCCAGAATGATAAGGGAAAACGAGTAAATGAGTGGGTGCCCTGGCCTTAGCTGGGAGACAAGGCTAAGTACACAGGTGGAGATGCAATAGCTGAGCAGGTACTGGGAGCCTGTGGAAGTTCTCTTCTGACTGCTTCGGTCTTATTTGTGGACTGCAGAGGAAGTACGGAGAGCAGAGGGATCAGGGAGATAACGACGTGACTGCTGGATAGCATTAAAGACTGGCTGATTTAAGGGCTCATGAAGTGAGATTGAGACCAGTAAGCATGGTGACATTTTCCCTCCAGGGACGACGAGATGTATGGGTAAGGGCAAGGAGCTGCGTCTAAAGAACACTGTCGTTACTGTGACTGACCACGGAGTTTAGGCTAGAGAAGGGAAGTAAGATCAGGGAAAGCAGGATCAGGGACAGTGAAAAAATAATACATTTGGGACCAGTAGGCAGTGTAGTGGTTAAGAAGCTGGACTCCCATGTGGCCGATCGCAGTAAAGTCCCAAAGCCAACGGCTTGAAAATCACGCCAGGTACATGTGCACGCACGCCCCAAATCCCAAGAGAATGGAAAAGGGACTGTGGCATGGCCGTCCTTCCTGGAGGGTGATTTCTCACTTTCCCTCGTTTTGTTTCTGTCTGCCTCTCCGGGGAGTACATGTGCTCTTTGGCAAAATACCTTAAAAAAAAAAAAAAAGAAAAAAAAGGTACATTTAAAAAACTAAGGGTTCCAATAGGCCCAAATGGTGACAAGAAAAGGTAGGAGGTGGTGGAGAGAGGGAGTGTGAAGGGGACATTATGTAGGGCTGCAGTTTGGATACTGACACGGGCCCAGAAGTGAAGAGATGTGATATGGCCCAGAGGCCAAAGTTCATTAGAGGACAGATGCTCCAGATTGGGAGACACCATGATACTGGAAGAATTAGACACATGAACAATGAAATTACTAAAAATTATGACACAAATAATATTGGAGGGGATGTCAGTGATCTATTATAAAAATCAAACTCTGGGGCCAGACAGTAGCATAGCAGTAATGCAACTGACCCACATGGGAAAGGTCCTGGGTTCTAGTCCTAGGATCTCCCTGAGCACACCTGACACAGCATCCATGACTCAGGCAAGCTGAAACTGGGGGTAGATTGTGACATGGACATATTTTTGGGGTGCCTGTCCTTAGAGAAATAAACTTGAGGGCCAGCTTGTGGCATGGTGATTAAGGCAGCTGGATCCCACATGGCCAACTGTGTGGTTTGAATCCTGGACCCAGCAGCTTGAGAACTGGGCACGTGTGTGTCCACCCAAAATCCTGCAAGGAGGGAGAAGTGGACAAAGGGCTACAGCACGATGATTCTCCATAGGAAGTGCTTTTTCCCTTTCCTCCTCTCTCTCTCTTCAGTGAGCACATTTGCCCTCTGTCAAAATGTTTAAAAAAGAAGAAAAAAGAAGTAAATCTGGGGGGGAAAAAAGAACCAAAATTTGTTAGGAGAAAGTTCCCCCTGGACCTTGTGTTTCTGCACATACTGTGAGCAGAGGCACTGACTGTGCTCTGGGCTCTCTTTTCAAGCATGCTTCCGTGACAACCAACCATAGAAAACAGCCTTTGTCACCCTGTAGGAGAAAGGATGGGTTTACCTACACCCCTGCAAGAAAGAGATCATCTCTTCCTCCCAGAGAACAGACAAGCTTACTATCGATTATAAAAGGTTCTAGTTCTCTAAATCGGGAGTTCCTCACCTGCAACTTACTCCACTTTTTATACAGGGTACCACCTGGCCCCTCACATCACCTTCTGGGAACTGGGGAGCCAGTGCTAACAAATGCTCTTACTTTGCTTAATAAGTTTGCTCTTAGTAATACATTCATGGCCCAAGAAGTCCCTTATCTTCTGCCAACATCCATGAAACTGTGTTAACTTGTCAGCTTGCAAGCAGAGCAAAATCTCAGACCTTTCATAGCTCTTGACAAATTCCCAGTGAATGGGAGGTGGAAATGAGAGATGACTATAACCACACGATAGAGTAATACAGTTTGAAACATGAGATAAAATCTGGACATGTTTTAAAAGAGAGAATGGTTTGGAAAAGCAACGTGCAGCCAAGAGCATACCCCCAGGTCCACTGGAATGAAAAAAGCCTACCTACTTGAGAAGGTCGAGAGCAGTGTTACTGTCTGAAAAGCAGTGTTTAACTTAGAGCAGCAGGTAAAGTAAAACGGAAGAAGAGTTTTAAAACAAAGAGAACCTTGAGTTCCAAGGACATAATGGGAGATTTTTAAGAGACAGAAAGAGGTAGGTTTTAGGGTCAGATTTGGATACATGTGGGAAGAGACCCATAAGTCTTGAGATCCTTGCAGTAACTTAAAGAGGAAAAAGGGCAGGATGAAATTAGCTGTGATTAATCTCAATCAGATTAAATTAGTTTGCTTGTTTCCACCCAAATCTCCTCTATCCATCTTTTACCCACCCAGCCTCTACTATGGAACATTTTATTTCTCACCAAACAAAACATAATTTTAGAACATACAACTTTTAAAACATAAATGCCAGACTATTTTTTAAGACAGTAAGAGGCAAGTGTTAACTTACTTGAATGAGATCTAAAATGCCAAGTTCACTTTCTGAAGAATCCACACAGAAGACAAAATATAGCGTTGCGTAATGTCTATATATTAGTTTGTTGTCAGATCCTCCAATTAATCTAAATGACAAAACAGAACAAATGGGAATGTTATAGAAAACAAAATGTAAAACATTTTCATTAGCTGAAGTGATCTGACAATTTGCTTAAAAACCTTTTACAGAATGAAAGGTAATATTTAATGGCAAAACATTCAAATAAGCTTCTAGACACTAATAAATTAAGATGGCTGTTTTTCTTCAGAAATGTCAAATAAAAGAAGCTGTGTTTAATTTTAGTTCATCCGTTCATTAAACTATTTGCTGAGTAACTGCCATGTGCCAGGCACTGACAATAAGAAACAAGAAACAAAAAAATAAGAAAATTCTCGGGTAGTGGCAGGTATGCCACAGAGAACCAAACAGGAAGATGGCATGATGATGGCTTTGCGATTTCAGATTGAGTTCGAACAAAGTAACATTTAGGCTGAAATCTCATTAGAAGGAGCTGGGCATCGAAGAATTTAGTGAAGAGCATTTCATACCTAGGTAAAAACTAATAAAAAGGTCATTTCTCAAGGACAAAATATATACATTCAAAGAAGAGGAAGGTGGCAGTAGACAAGAAAGGATTAGTAAACAATGAGGTTGGAGACTGGGCAGGGTGAGGTCACAGCACCCCTAAGTGCATAGGAGATACAGCTCCACAGGTCACATTACACAGCTGAAGACTGACTACCAACTAGGAAAAATGCAACGGACAGCTCTTGAGATCTGGACAGATTTACATTAAGACCGCCTCCAAAACTATATTCTGTTTTGAAATATAAATACAAGAAAACTGAGCTAAGACGTCCATCTTCAATCGAATACTTATGTTGACTGCAAGTTCAGCAATTTTAAAATAATAGCTCCTCAGGAATCATTCCGAACATCTTATAGTTTTCTAAGTATAGGTTGCTATTTCATAGTTAAGCTTACAAGTAATAAGTTTGCGGTTTCAAAAGATCCATTAATACTACCAATTTTAAAGTCAAGGCTACATATAATCAAAGCTAACTGAACATTCAAACAAAGCAAGAAAACAGGATCTAGTCCTTACTCAGTAAAAGTAACGTGAAACTTCGAAGTTCTGTAGAAACAACTCTAAGTATACTCAACTCCTATGTCCTTTAACAGCAAAACGGAAATGACCTTTGGCAAGAATGAAACATTCCGACTATGACAGACGATTTTCTATAAAAGATATTTAGCTTAATACTAAGCACGGTATGTGAAGGGTTTTGAGATTACATGTAGAGACTAAGACTGCACATGCTCCCTAAAACAGACAGAAGGAGCGAACAGCAGGCATCCTGCATCCTGAATCAGCAACTTAGTGGTTATTTAAACTACTCTTTGGGTTTACTTCAAAAGACCAAGCTTTTGAAAACTGAAGATTTCAAAATGGTCATTAATGTTATTAAAAGAAAGCAAGATATTTATGTGACAAGTATATATTTTATCTTGAAAAGTAATAACCACATCTGTATAGCACAATGCTGACATAAATTCTTATTTGGAGTACAATGTACTATACAAAAGCCACAGAATTTTAGAAATCCTTTTAGGCCAAATATTTCATTTTACAGAGGAAAACTGAGGTTCAATAATTTTAAATTATTTAACCAAGGAAACCGCCTTGTTAGTAACAAAGCCAGGAGTAAAGTAGATGTGTACCCTCATCTCCGGTGCACTGTTTGCTTCCTACTTTTCACTGGGTTGGAAATGAGTATTTACGATTTCAAGTCACAATTTCTAGATCAAAAAGTGCCCTAGTGAGATCAACCAAGTTCTCCCTCTGCTCCGACATGCAGCGCACCTGCTGGGCGATATGACTCCTAGGAGACAAGAACTGACGGAGGGGCTGAGGGGAAGGGGTGCTGGTGGCGAAGACACAGAAATTTAACAGAAATAATTACAAGTAAAGTTCAAAAACAGAAGTAGGTACATTTGTCTAAACTACTAAATTAGAAGTCTTGCATGAACAGCAAAATTTACAAATGATAAGTAATTATAAAACATTTCAGTGCAGCTTTTTTGTGTGGTAATTTTTTTATTGTATGATTTCTTTTTTACACTTCATGATTGTACATCTTTAGAGTATACAATAAGGTTTTTCAGAGCATGCATGCAGTGCATGTACATTAAGTCACAATATTGCCATATACCTAATCCTCAACAGGTAGCCTTCCATTCTTGTGTCTACTAAATGTGTTTTCCCGAGTCCTTCCTACCCACCCCCTAATCACCACCTTCATATACAGTCTTGTATTTACAAGTGTCCTCCTTATTATTATATCTTCAAACCTATTTCTTTTTTCAAAATTACATTTAATCACTCCACATCTTGCAGGGTGAAAAACGGCCTTTCCCAGTGTGAATGCAGTGCATGTTAAGTCAAAGGTATTACCACATAGCATCATGGTGTACCAGGTGTCACTGGATTCCCACATGGCTGACTGCAGTTTGAGTCCCAGATCCGGCGGCTTAAACTCATGCCGGGTGCATGTGTGTGTGTGCCCAAGATCCCGAAAGGAGAATGGAGGAGAAGGGATTACAGCATGGCTTTCCCTTCAGGGGGGTGTCATTTTCCTTCTCATTGTCTGTCTCTCTCCGGCAAGCACACATGCCCTAAAGCAAAAACCTCTTAAAAAGAAAAACCAAACAGATATTACCATATAGTTAATTTTTTCAAAAATATAATTCCTGGTTGTTCAATTCAGAATCTGTGACCTATGCCGTGTTCACTGCCTCTTCTGTGGAGGATCTCCAGCAGGGCTCTCCCTGTTTGTGTCTCCAGCCTCTCCTCACTATGGAGCCTTCCACTCACTTTACA